CATAGCTCTCGTCTCCCCCTACCCCCGTCATCGTGTGGGTAATGCGTTCAACCTCAGGAGGTGATGACGCCTACTTCGTCAACGTCGGTGATTCCGGTGCTCTGGATCTAGGGGTTTTCGATGGAGTAGGGGGATGGTCGTCGCTTGGCCACGACCCAGGCGTGTTTTCACGAGGCTTCGCAAAGGCCACCGCAGGTAAAGCCTGTGTGATGAATCTTGGCTCCGGCACGCATGCGAATATGATGTTAAGACTCTGGGTGGCTAGGTTATGTGGATTTACCATATTGTTGTCATCGACTGCTGTCCAGGTACCTACATACGTTGCAAGCTAGCGCTTTACGCGTACCGCTCAAGTTGTATCGTGATTTCGCGTTCGTCGCCACATCGAATCTAGGCTGGCAAAAGTCATAGACTGTGCGTTTAATCAGTCGGGAATCCCCGTCCTTTGCGGTTTTGTCTGATTAGTTCGGCTTGTGTGTTAAACGTATTCGCGAAATAGGGCCAAAATTGTGCGGGACGCATCATAAATCACGCGGCCTCGGCCGTCTTTACCAATGCAGTGCGTGCATCTGACCAGCTCCGTGCGTGGCGGCTGCTGCATTTTTATGTATCGGTGGCTGTCTCGAGAAGCGTCTGAACGTGATGGTGACAAAGGGTTGGAAAGTTTTTGAAATTTTACCTGCAACCGTCAGGCGTATGTGACGACCTGCGGGTGTCGTGCGGGTCACCCTTAAGTCGACCTGCTTGGCGCTAATGCATCGAAACACACAATGTGCTGTGTACCGGCTCTGCACGTGTGCGAGGGCCTCTGATCACAAGCGAATCCCCTTTGCCGGTCTACGTTCTCGGCGTGTTGTGCTACAGCCAATATTACAGCTCAGAGAGCGGAGGAGGCAGTATCGCTCCGGCGATCTCAGGCAGAAGGCGAACCCTTGCCGCGAATTGCGCAAGGAGTGGACCTGCAGCTGGCGCTGGAGTACGCCACTACCAACGCGGCGTTGGCCGGAACCCAAGGAACTTGCACCGCATGTGTGGTGAGAAAACAACGTACTCGCCAACAGCAGCTAGTTCGCGTTGTTTGCGGACGGTATGTATCCGAGAGCTTGGATCTGTGGTGAACGTGAAGATAACCTTTGCCTTTGTCCGTGCCTCTCAACCCGAAGAATGTCATTATCCATCAAAAATATTTGTACTTGACCTGGCAAACGCGGCAGGTGACCTTCGACCCGGTGTACGGAATGCTGAACGGCGTCAACGTCGGTGATTCAGGCGCCCTTCTAGTACGCAGGTGCGATTTGTCGCCCGTGTCGCCAGCAGTGTTTTCTCTCAACGCACCGAATTTTCTACGCTCGCATCCATGCGAGGTCTAAATAGAGAGGTGTTGCTGCGTTGTTGCCGTCCCTCTACGCTACTCTCTGGAATGGTAGGCTAGCGATCAGTTATTATATTCCCGTGTACGAGAGGCAACACTGTTCCTTTCGTGTGAAAGCAGATGCCGTCAGGTCTGTCGGCGATGTGACTGTTTAAATTCTACATTAACTGTAGGGATTCGTGGGGTAGTACACCAGAGGATGATATGCGAAACCCCATCCACGTCAGTTGGTCCGCTCGTAGACACTGCTCTCCGCTTTCTCCGCCTCCCTCCAACCCGGTGGATCTATCAAAATTTAGCATCACGTCTTATAGCCCCGAAAGGAAAAATACCAACTTGGGGGCGTGCCTTTGTCGCATGACTTTGCGATGTTGTTGCCTTGACACACTTTGACAACAATCACGTGCCGTTCTGTGGATGGCTTTCTTTCAGGGATGCCCGGGGAACCCCCTTCGTCGCGTTGAGAACAGCGACACAGAGACATACCTTCAACCAGCCTTACCAGCTAGGAACTGGGAGCCGAGATAAAGCACACGATGCTCGAGATTTTTTGTTTTACGTCAGGTGCGTTCAACGGCTAGGTTAAGTATACTAGTATAGACTATGCTGCGCACCTTGAAACCAAGGCGTGCGGCACGTTTCTACCGTCATCTATGACGGTAGGGCAGTCTGTTTCGCACAAATAACTTGTTTGCCCGAAACAGTGACATGACGCGCGCTTTCTACCCTTGATGTGACACGTGTTTCGCAGAGAGGGAGACTTGGTGGTCTTGGCCACAGATGGCCTTCTAGACAATATGTTCGAGTCTGATATCCTGCGATGCATCGAAGAAGCATCTGAGGGCGATGCCGAAACAACAGCTCACGAGTCTTGCGATAAGCCCGTAGACTTGGCCTCAGCATTGGCACGGAAAGCCTTTAATATTTCACGCGATAAGGAACGCTTGACACCTTGGGAAGAGGAGGCTGTAGCTGCGGGGGTTATTCCGACACGAGGCTCCGTTGACGGACCGTCAACAGACCGAGGAAAAAGGGGGCTCGAATGGGATGCTAGCAAATGGGGGTTGGCTCTGGAACGAAGCGTGACCGCGGGGCTCAATAGTTTCAGACAAGGTGCGGCAGGGGCACCAAAACAAGACGACCGGCGTGAGTCGATCATGCCGCAAGAAGACACGACCAGTTTTCGCGGGGGGAAAATGGACGACATTACCGTTTTGGTAGCAACGGTTCGTCGGGCGGGATCGCATAGCAGAAAGGCCACCGTCCGGGAAGGAGCTGATGCCCGGACCACATAGTGTGCCGAGGTGGAACGTCTGCGATAGCATAGCTCCTCCACAGATGCACAGATTAGCGCATGAGGCGTTCTCGTGACTCCAGCGTTTTAGTTGTCGGCCACACAACGAAGTGAATGCTCGTGGCGTGGAAATATCTTCAGTCTCAAGACGTAGCATACTGTAAATGATTTGGAGAGCCTGCCGGAACTGTTCGGATTCGGCCGTGTTTGCTTCCCCGTTTGTTTAAATTCCCTCGATGATATCACATACTGTTCTTGTGACGGAGTCACTGCTCGACGTTTCCGCCGTGGTCGGACTAACGGTGTCTACGTCGCTCTCTGATGGGTCCTCTTCTGGGTAGAGGCTCCATGTTTTCCTCGCAGCTGCTCTCCTCTGAATCTGATAGATCAAGCAAAGCGTTGCGTAATCGCTTCACCAGTCCCCCCGATGTCCTCTTGCGCCGTATGCAATGAAGTGGCTGATCTCCAACCTGCCAAAGAGAAAGTGGCACGCCGCGTTCAGGACAACAAATTATAGGTACTTGCCGATAGTGGCAACGCTTGTGTACAAAATCTGTGTCCGCTGCTACAATAGTGGTTGGAACTACTGATTGGATCCATGTTAATGGAAACAGCATCACAAGAGGGCCACGAATGAGCGAAAAGCTAGAGTCGTTCGATTGCAGACAAATACGCACCGTGCTCACCCTTGGATACATGTCCACGCCTGGCCTTCTGGATATCAAGCGGCGAAAGGATTTACAACTGTTCATAGTGTTTTTGGTAGGAATAAACCCCATCTTCTACTGTAGACCCAAACCCAAAATTTTGCAAGAATCCGTGTGGAAGCCGGGTAACTTAGATAACACTGCGAATGCTCTCGATTGTCAGTCGCCCTCACGGTCTAGTCTAGAAAGTACGCAGTGGAGCAGCAAATCACCTTTCGTAGCGGCAACTGTCTACCGGCTGTCACCCTGCCCATGGCGATTGTTTGGTTAAGTTATGGTTGTCGGCCACTGCGGACGTTGTTCGGCGGAAAGCCACTCGGTTACATCAGGTAAGTTGGGTACAGTAGCCGACCACAGCAAGAAGGTATCTTGATTCCACGATGCAGTTGCGATTTGCTACTGTAGGCTTGGTAATGAAAAACTGTTTTTCTTCGTTCTCACGAACCAACATCATTGTTGACGCTATACACGGCGTAGTTGTGTTCGGACGAAATCGGCCAGAAAATAGGCAAGCCCCTTGAGGTTTGGATCCTCTTGAGTGATAGTCACAACTACGTAAGTATCGCATCTAACATTTCTATACTTTTTGGGCCCTTTGCCCCTCTGACGCCCAGTCGAATCGACCCTAAATTGTTCTCGCCAGGGCTCCTCGTTTCGAGTAGTACGTGCTCTCGGCAACTCCGAACTTTAACTTTCGTACCAATTCCTTGTGTTGCGAGCAGGGATGTCATCGGGACCGAGCAACACGTGCCTCACATTAGTAACGCGGGAAGCGACATTAATAGAACACTCATGGAAACTATCCATTGATTCATCGATACAAAGAAGAAGCGATACGGATACTGAGCACGGGATCAAACTCGATGTCCATGTCTTGTGCAAGAAGCTCACCTTGTCCTTGACTCGAGGATCGCAGCCCGCTTCCATCAACATATACACCACATCCAGGTGTCCTCCAATTGCAGCGAGGTGCAACGCTGTCCACCCACCGAGGTTTTCCCGCAAATCAAGGAAGCCGGCGACCGCGTCTGACGCGCCGTCGGTCCCTTCGCCAGCAGAAGAGTCGACAAACGCATGCGTCCGATCAGCAGGCTGTCAAGGTAAGATGACGACACCACGCTAGTTTTGACGACAGCAAAGAGGATATAAAGGTCCAGTCCCTGTCAAGGTTGGAAAAGATATCCTCGCGATGATGCAGGAATCTCGCTCTATTGAAATCAACTTATGGATCGGGCCTTATTGAGACGTAACCAGTACAGCTGAAGAATTCCCTCAAGGAGGACTGTTGCTTGCTATCCCGTGGCAGCGAGGAGATTACTTCACCTGCTTCCCGCAACAACTTTATCTCTTGCAGGATACGGTAGGTTAGGACAGTGCTTCCCCTCGAACTCGCCCAATGGAGAGCACTCCACCCGTGATCATCAGAACCCAAGATGCCGGTACCCTCTTGAATAAGGTGTGAGAACCCTGCCACGTCCTCTTGCATGACAACTCGCGCAAAGGACCTGCAACGAATAATGGTCATTTAAACATGAAGATGCCCGTGGAAGTCGTGTCCATAACAAGGAATGGACTGACACGACATGCCCACGCTAAACCAAGCCGAGGTGGGACAGAGATGACGACGCTACAGAGGTTCCCCACAGGTTCCCTGTAGTGTACAAATACGTAAGATTGTAGCTTATTGTAGCTGGTTGACCCTCTGTTGAACTTTTAGCCATAAACGGCGCGCCTAGCTGCGCAACCATTAAGCATTTTCTCCGCCATTGCGATAGAATTTCGCACCCTTTCTAAACTCAAACAAAGATCAGTCATCACCGATGTGTAGAATAGTGGCATGGCAACACTGCTGGCTCGCCTTCTCTGTGCAGCTCCTTCGTATTCTTTCCCCTCTCCGTCGTCCTCGCTGTTGTTGGGATATCTGTGGACACTCACAACCGGACAGCGGCGCTTTCGACGATCCAGCTTTTGCCTCTCTCCAGAGACCGGGTCAATCTTCTTGTTCTCCGGCTCGGGCGCGACCATCGTGCTCGGTTTTCCTGCTTCTAGCTTCTCATGGCTCTGTTGGTTTCGCCTCCGATCCTCGTTGTCGTCCCCGTCACCCTCCGCTATTTTTCCTACTGTAGTCTGGCGCGCACGGGAATTGCAGAGAGGGGTCGAACGTCATCCGGCCACCTTTCATCGTATGACGTATGATACAAAGTTGCGGGCTGAAACACCGTCTCAGCACTACGGTGGTGCTTACGCTAAGAGATCAACAGTGTTCTGCCATAGGAAGCGCAGTAAGTTCCGTTCGGGCGCCCCCCGGGGCACCTCACCCAATTCGAGCAGGGAACTACACCCGATACTCGCAAACCAGCACCTCGATGCAAGCATCAAATAGACAGTTTTGAAGAGCGCAGTCGTACCGCCGCTAGAATACGCCGGGCAAGTATGGGAAGGAAATAAGAAGGTAGCCAAAGAGCCCGAGGCGGCACAGATGAAAGCAGCGAAATCATGCTAGGATGCTCCAAGCGCACAAGTACTGCAGCCGTCAGGGAAGAACTGATGGGGAAATTTACGAAGAAGGTGGTACGCTGGAAACGGAAGGTCCAGAGGGGTTCAAGGAGAAGATATATGCTGCTTTTGCCGAGAGAGAACAGGAACTAACCAAAGAATCAAGGAGAAGAAGGGTCTACAAGTAGACGGAATGTTGAAAGAAGGAAAAGGGTTCAAGGAGTACCTACATGGACCAATGGATGCAGGGACGAAGCTGAAGGTCAAATTCAGGACCGGGGACATCGGCCTTCGAGAACGTAGCCGAACTTTTAGGAAGTTGAAGGTAGACCATGAAGACGACAAGTTCAAATGTGATTGCGGCTCCGAGTGCGAAGTCCGTGTTCATGTAGTTGCGGAGTAGCGGTTGCACAAGAAGGAGAGGGAAGTGTGCATGACTGAGCTGGGAAAAGTAGAAGGAAGTACAGGGAGATGTTTGGGGCATGGAATAGCCAGGAGAAGACGGTAGATGTACCGGGGCAAAGGAAGTGGGTTGAAGAGGCGGGAAGTGATATCGATAGGATAGATTAAAGGAAGACATTTCTTAGCCACCTTTGGCAAAGTAGGAAGGAACGATTGACCCTCGGTGATCAGTTCTGTGGGGACAATGCTCCGTCCTCTCGAGGACGCGTGGTCAATGGTCTAACCGCTAACGCAAGCAAAACATAAGAGTACCCCCCCCGCCGGGATACCTTACGTCACCCGCGCACAGATTTATGTATCCCCCGATAACGGTATGTGTTGTAGTCTGCCATCGAAAATATAGTGTCGTCGCATTTCGTAAGCAAGGGACGAACAGCGGGTGCTGCGCTGGAGCTGACGCGCGGACCGGATGGAGCAACGGACGCAGAAGAAACCACACAACAAGTCGGTACGCATTTTACCAACTACAGCAGAGCAGTAGTAGAATGAAGTAGTAGTCTACAACCGTATAGACTATTTGTTGGATATGTAGTTAGACTACACATCAACGAAGGACTATCCGTTCGAGATAATACCACAGCAGTCGAAGGGGATGTGTTGGAAGTCTTTACGTGAGTAAAATGTTACTGTCTGTAGTATCCGTAGAATACTGCTCTTCTACTGTAGATAGAGTCTAGATAGATTTCAACACGCGCGTTACTGAAAGGTAAACTACGCGGGGTGCAGCAAGCCCGTCCTAGGCGTTACTTGGGGCACTGGGTAGTCGGCCGCGTTAGGCCGAGAGAGAGAGGTGGAGAGAGAGTGGGAGAAGGAAACTTTATTGGAGAGAGACCGCGGTGGCGGTGGAGGGAGAAAAGGAAGAAGTGCGCAGCACGCACGCAAGCCTCATCGTACCAAGCGCGCCAAAAGGGTCCCTGTGACTGCATGCACCCGTGGTACCCTACAACACAAGAATTCCCAACACGTATCCCCTTGGGATCCTCACGACCAGTACTGCTGCGAGAATATCTAGCATCCATCCCCTCTGCTCGCAACAGTTTCTCACTGAAGAAAACTTCGCTAACAACATCCGATATCTCAACCGAAAGACGATTTTTCCAGAATATATGCCATCAAGACTAGACTTATATACCAAAATATAAGAGGAAAAATCGTTCAAAGAAACATGAATGAATGCTGCATCGCGCGTAATGAATACATACATGTTGGCGCGGAAAATGAAGGCAAAAAAAACAAAAAACACAACCCATCCGAAAAACAACAAATTTTCATACCAAATTCATCACAAAATAAATGACGGTAAGACTCGAAAGTGTCCTTCGCCAAGCTCTTCGTAAGAAAATCTGCACGCTGGACCAGTGGTCGGGCGACGGCACTTGGATCACCGAAATTTCCTTCCTCTCTACCAGTTCCCTGAGAAAATGGCGCCTTACATCTATCTATGTACTTCGAGTTTGAGGTTGTTGAGATGGGGTTCTGCGCTGCTAGTTGAATCGCCCCCTGATTGTCCTCGAAGACTGTGCCGACCTGTGTCAACATGAAACGCCAAATCTGCCTCAAAAACAAGAAAGATCTCCTTCACTTCGTCACCAAGCTCCTCCTCCTGTCGTCGAAAGCGTAACACACTTCTGCGTTCTGGAAAACCAAGACACAGCGGCTCCTCCACACGTGACGATCCCCCCTGTACCAACCTACAGTCTGCTGCCTTTTTTCTTGCAAAGTCCGCATCAGCGTATCCCTGCAAACTGAAACCCTATATATAGTCTAGTCTATCTACCCTAGTACCTCTCTGAAATAAAATAATACCGAAGTGACTCGTCCTCCTCGCATACATACCCCAAAATACCTACCGCTGCATCCCAGTTGATCTGCTTTGGAGATGAGCAATACCTAGCCCTTACGCATTCGCAATGTCTGGTCTAGTCTGAGTCGCCAGCCACATCTAAGATCCGACTAGTTCACGAAACGGATAGTCTGTCTCTATCTCATCCGCATCAAAATCAGAAAGCTTCACCCCCTTAAGACATCGGAACGCTCTTACCTCCCACTACTCCATACACTCTGCTGCTAGCTCATCCGTGAAAGTCTGCTGAGAATATATATGCACACGAAGTAGGATTCCAGCCGATCGTATATTATATATCGGTGCTATTATTACAGAAGGAGGTTGTAGATCAGGGTCCTACCACTACGTGTACTGCTGTACCTGGCACATTCTTTGTACACCAGGACTCGAAATGCTAGCAAATATTTTAGGTAAATCCTACATGTAGACTAGACTTCGGTGGTACCTGTTCCTTGCCGTTGATGATGTCACTTCGATCAATTGCATGAGATGTGTCATTTGCGTTGGGTTGAGTGCTGCTAGCATCCCCTGCTTCAGTCATATCACGTGTGCCTCGACCTCCTCCTCGCTACGACACAGCAGTAGCACTCGTCCACGCCCCTCCTCCCTCGTGCGGAACTTTAACTTTTGACCCTTTTGGTGTTGATTTTGGGAGTCGAGAACAGAGAAACGAAACGGGAAACGGTTGGGGTTCCCTGCCCGCCTCTCTCTGTTGGTTGAAAAAAGAGAAGTAACCAGAAACGGGTATACCCGGATAGATTATCACCATTTCAAGGTACACTTGGAAATCAAGACGACACCAATCCCCGACAGCATCCGCCGTAGATCGCGGCGAAACCAATAAACCGCTGTCTGTGTCCTGTTGTGTGTCCTGTGCCCGGAAGCATGATGATGAACGAGGCAGGTCGTGCCCGTTTTTCTCTCTCTCTGTGCCTCGCTCTCTGTGTGTGCTTTTACTGATCAGTAACACACCGAAGTACTCGCGCGTCAAGCGAGTCCGACCCTCTGTTGAGAAGGGCCGGTATCGGTGCCCATGAACGATGAACGAGAGGGTTATTGGTGGTTTGGTTGTGGTTCTGTAGACGGTACACGGTACACGGTACACGGTATGTGCGGTACTACACGTTTTTTTCTGCGGGTTTTCTGCTGGAGCGTCGGGCGCCGGGATTTTATGACCATTTCTGGGCGCAAAGTTGACCTCTTCCGGGTACACCAGTAACGAAAATCGGTCACACCAGAGGGTCCTAATTCCAGCGGAAGTTGTACCCGATGGAGGTTTCCTCAGAAATGGGTACAACGTTTTTTTCGGCCAATCAGCTGACAGCCTGGGCGTGCAAGCGTGTTGATTTCTAACTGTACCCTAAAGTGGTGATAAAGGCCCGGCCGGGTATACCCGTTTCTGGTTATTGGTCTTGAAAAAAGCCCATTGAGGTGTCTCGCGAAGACCCCATTGGAGACACTGTTTTTCTGCGAAACCCCGCAGGTGGAGGCTTGAAGGCTTGGATGTGGCTAAAAGTGGGCTGGCAGCGCAGCAGTTCGCAGTCAGTGTGATACGGTTTATGGTGGTCTATCTTCCTCCCTGTCTTCCCGCCCTTCGTAAGCACCAATACTCATGGTAAGAGACAGAGAAAGTGAAAGAGCGAACTTTTTGCACCACACACACACTGGGGTATCTGGACAACGCAAAGTTCTGCGCATGCTACACTGACTGCTGTAGCTTTTGACAGCCAAATTGCCTTTTTGGTGGAACGCTTTGTTGTACGCGGTTGCGACCTCGACCGCACAGCATTTAGAATACCCGATAGACCGGGTGGAAGGGACAAAACGGCGAATGGAGCGCGCACGCAATGCAGCTGCGGCTGGTCCTCCTTCTGAGCAGCGGTGCAGCTGTCTCTACAACAGAATGGTACAGCAGTAGTTTACCCGCACTGTCAATCAAATGCAACAACGAGTACTTTGTATAGGAGACTGCTACAGCAGTAACAACCTTCTCGCGTTAGACATGAACATTGAAGGTAAACACCACAGGTCAAGGTGGAGGATTCATCCTGTGTTGACGTGTGGATCCGGGTGGTGTGTCAAACATACACCGAAATGCAGACTGGCGCCTCAAATATGTACCGTCCATGAGACTAAAGAGAACTGCTGTAGTACAGCAGTACTTCTTGTAGTGCAAAAGTCCTGCAGTAAACCTGCTGGACGATGCGATCTGCAACTTTCAGTTTTCGGGACAGGTTCGACGCACCAGCCGGGGGTAACACAAGAGGAGGTGAAGACAGATTGTTTTTCTCCGCCTGTCTCCTGCGGCACCTTCGCGGTTTTGATTCAAGAAAGGTTGTGTCGGATGACGGCAACTCTGTAGACTATGCGCCTTACACCTCTCGATTGCGATTTTCAAGTTTTCCAGTGTCCCAACCTAAGCAGCGTGTCCGCAGGAGAACTCAGGCTCAAGCATCAAGGTACAGACAAGCCATATTCAGTGCTTCGTCGGCATCATACTTCGTTGGATCCGGGGGGGGAGGGCAGGTATCTCGGAGACAAAGTCTTTACGCTTCCGCATGTGCTCAGCAATAGTCTGTATCCAAACCAAACCGATGTAGTCTAACCCTTTTACATTCCCGCCTAAGAGCCCTGACTTCATTTAGTCCAAGGAACATTAGCGCAGTGACCAACGAATATTTTGGTGCAGCTTGAAGTTTGGCGGTGGACCACCAGCAGCCGGACTGGAGCGTGTCAAATCACATGCGGCCGATCGGATATATCACGCTAAATTTGCTTGAGATTGGACCACTCGCACGAGAATGTCATTCTCTGATAATCTGCGATGGACGCTTTGGGAAATCGTTCTTCGGTTGTAATGTATACACTAGGCCCTCCGAGACACCTGCCACTCCTGCGCGGTGCGAAACCCTACGTGGCCTTCTCACAGGAGTTGGTTTTCGTTCCAGCATGAGCCGCGTCGCCACCATCTGACACCGAGTCGACAAGATGCTCCCGTCCCTTCGTGGGCCTTGAAATTTTCTCCCAACTTCTGCTTGCGGCATGCATTCATCGATTCATATTGGCCTCAACAGTACTGCTCGAATGAATACCGTCTTCTTGTCGGAGCTAAACCAGAGGTTGGCCAGATCCCTTCACCCGTTTCATCTCATGTGATCGAAGGGCCGTGACCCCATCTGCCCACCTCTTGCCGATGGGACTATCCAGGAGCATTGCAATGCAGCAGTCACACATGTGCGATCAAAGGCCGCTGCAATTCGGAAAACCACTTCCGAACATCTGAAAGGCGAGTTGCTTAGGGGCGAGCGGCTTACAAATGGCGACCCGAAGTGGTAAGCTCACCGTCTTGTTGTATTTTCCAATCCATCGGTAGCAGATAGTTGGTGTCTTGCGTCGCATGAGATGTCGGCCTTGTGGTGCGTGCCTCTCTCACACCAGATTCTGTTTCATGTGGTTGACCAGGCTCAAGCGTTGAACCCATGTGAGTCGCATTGTGCACAACAAAAGGCCGTTTGTACAGAAAAGACTCACAATGTGCACCCTTTGAAGTTGCGCCGGATCTCAGTGATTTGTTGAGTGGTCATGCGAATCGTGTTTGGCTCTGTTCTAAGCCGGTTGAAGAAAAGTTTTTGCAAGTTATGGGGCGTTTTCTCTGCCGGCGTATCTAAGAAGTATTCTGTGCTTTGATATGAGCTTTACCAATCCGGGGTGAAGTGGTCCCGCCTCAGTCATGCACAAAGTTTTGTGTGAGCAAACTATCGCGGGATCTAGCGTTCGGAGTAGGATTCCTCGCGGGTATCCTGTTTATCGTTGTCCATGTTGATAATTTACTCCAGTAAATCCCGTGGTTCCACGCACAGACCATGGTAGCATACTCTATTTATTTTCATAAAGCATATGTTACAACGCTGCTGAGTGCCGCCACGAGTACATTGCCTTGTATGCGTGTAACTGTGAGGAAACACGCATCGCACGGCTGGTTTACCACCACATCTTGACGCTTCTTAATATCTCTCTCAACCGTCTCTACTCATGTATCGCATGCAAACGTGTGGCCGTCTCTTTCTTTCCTCGCCTTGTGGTCGGCGATCCCACTACCTTGCAGGCCATCGATTTTGAGCAGCTTTGACGTGGCGGCAAATCAGGTGGTGGAGCTTGCCGAAGAGGTCGATCCGGTGCTCAACTTTTTTGCTTACCAGCCTTTGCGAGCAACGGCCAAGCCTGGCGACAGTGAGTACTTCAGATTTGTCAAGAACTTATATGAAACTGCATCAGAACCTCGCCCCATTGCCGTCCAGACCTGGATACTAACAGAGGTATGCGACTGTGGTCTGAGGCACGGAATTTTCTTGAAACCGCTCGAGCGAATGGCAATAGCCCAGGACTGCTTTTGTGTTGCAATATGTTCCCGAACTCAATGCACTCATTGGGGAGTTGCAACCCCTTGTGAAGTTTGGCCGACACAGTCTTGGAGATGCTTTGAAATATGCCAGTCCCGTGAATTGTCCCTCCTAAGTTGCCGGAAAAGCGATGAAATGTTGAAATATTCGGGGGGTATGTTGCCAAACATGCAACTCAACCCTGCGTCTTTGTCCCCGGGGGAGATGTTTCCTGGCGGAAAAAATCGCGGCGCCGAACGTACGAAACCTACGGCATTGCGTTAAGGTAGTTGAGAATTGATGTTGCGGTTGCTTGCCTGGTAGCATGGGAGCACAAAGTTCGCTTTCGAACCACGCGGTTTGCGTGCACTTACGGTATAGTCCTCGTGCGCGTCTTCATGTTACTATGCGGTATCTGAAACTGCCGCTCACTCTGCGCACTTAATTCTCTGGCCCACGTCCGACAGTCCCTATGTTCCTTAGCACCAAACTCATGCCGAGAAATGACAGCGCCAAGAGGGATGAAGGATCCGAGGGTTCCGTCGGAAGCAGGAGCCACATCGAGGCCGTGGAGCAGTTTAATGACTCGGTGGATGATATCAGCAATTTCTTAAACGACTCCGTGGGTGCCGATGACGTTCTGTCCAAGTTGGTGTCCTTGTCTGGAAGCACGCGGTGACGATAATTTTTTTGTCGTCGGTGAGACGCTGGCGACAAGACACAGCACGGGAGCATGTTCATTGTTCCGCGAGTGAGCATACACAAGAGCAGCCTGGCAGCAATTACATTCCAATTTCAATCCTGTCGCTGGTTGAAGACCTCGCCGGAAAAGTTTTCCCTCAGCAACGTAGGAGGTGCCATGACATTCGCAGTGAATCTCATCTGAGTTACCGTGATCCGTGGTGTCTGCAAATAACCTTCACTTTCGAACGGTACGATTGGGATACCTAGTTCACAAAGAGTCCATCGGCGTGAGCCACTTGTCGACTTGTTGCCTGATCTGACGCCGCTCTTCGGCCAAGAGGTTGTATTCCCGTTCATCTTCCAGAGCAGCTTTCCATTCCCGGAAAAACCTTAATTTTCTGGCACGGTGTCCCATGGTGCTTGCATTCTGCTCAACGATGGCACGGTGAGATGCTCGACTCGTCCAGGCGTCGACCCACTTGCCAAAGTGCTTGGACCTTGCGGAATGACGTGCTATCATGCGGACCCTGGAGCTGCGCTTCGTCAGGCAGTTGTTGTGGTAGCTCCAGTACGTCCAGGCATTTTTCGTGAGGAAATAGGTCTCTAGTTTCTTCACGAGTCTTTCGATCTGTTAACGAGGGAAAGAGACGTACGCGTAGGAGGGGCGTTGACAGAGCGACGAACGTTTTCTGCAGCTGGTGTATTGTGGTTGTGGTAGTGTCTATGGATCAGTCGTGCGGAGGCGGGGTGCTGCAGGCCAGCGCGGCTAGCGATAGTGTTTCTAGAATACTGGATAGATTTTCTTTGGCACACTCGGTATATAGTTCTTGCAAAGGCTTTGTAAAGAGTGCACGTACAACATATGTCTTCCGTGCTTCACGAACGAGACTTGGGAGAGCAGAAGCAAGTGTCGCTTCTCTATCCTAGGAGGTTGTTCAACTACTGTAGTGTCAAATAACATCAAAGTATCCTGCTTTGATGTATTCGTTTCGTATGGCATTATGTTTCAAATGAAGCTGAGAACAGAACCTCCCTGTTTTCATGCCGTATGAAGTGGAAAAGCCAGGTTAATGTAGCAAACGTGACGCAAGATTTAGGTCTTCGAACAGCAGCGATGATGCTCAGTGTGAGCACGGGGGCGCTTCAAACCGTATCAGATGTAGCATACCCTGGAACAAATGTTACCAGGCGTTAGAGGGACACGTGGATGCGTTCTGACAGATCTCACAACGCATGCTTTGCACAGTGCCCGAAGCGAGCGCGGCAGGAACTCCATGTTCGCTAGTACCTGTTCTTTCTTGGACTTCGTCCTTTCCGCCCTCAAATTGGCTGTGTGATTCATCCACTGGGTCCACATGCGGTGCATAACACAGTAGGCGTAATGACGGTGGGCTTTCATCCTCTGGAGCTGACCGATTTCGAGTATCTTCGCCCACGGCTTCCAGCCTGTGTAGCGCATAATTGCTCTAACGTTCTGCCGGTCGGCAATAGCCATCTTGTTATGAACAACCTTCTTCGCTCTGACCCGAGACTCCAGTAATTTCTGTCGAGCATTCTCCCTGTCTCTCGCGACTTGCAGAGTCTTGGCAATTGCTGCCACCTCGCGATCCTCCCTGATGCGTTCTTCTTGTTGTTTTTCTTCGCGTCTTCTTGTCAAAAGCAGCTGCCGCCTTTCCTCTCGAGTACACCACCCGGTAACCGCTGCTGGTGGTGACATACATTCATGGTCCTTGGGTCGACTCTGTTTCAAAGGCAGTGTGTTGTTGCGAAAAAAAAATGTAATCCTGATAGGTTTCTTTGTTCATTTGTCGGACGTCGAAAAGGATGCTGGCCTGCTAAACGACGGTTCCCTGGTCGTGAAGGCCGTGCTGTCGAAAGGATTCGCTCTTGAGTGGGATGATTGGACATTTCGCCCCAAAACTGAAGGCGTGTGCAGCGCAGAGGGATGACTACTTCTTCATGTGACGCCCGATCTACGTACTTGCCACTGGTATATCCATCCTTGTGGAAGTGAGGGTGAGGGGGTAAATATTGTACGGCGGGTAAAAAATACCTACAGCTTGCCTACAGTCACAGAGAATGATATACTGTCGTCCCAAAGTATAATCTGACTGTTGTGGGTTGTAACGTGGTTGATGACTCCTCCCAAGATTCGCTCTGCTGTTTGCAGTTGGTATGCACGTAGACTAAACTTGCTGATGATCCAGGATACGAAGTCGCCAGCTGTCGTCGCACAAGATTCAAGCTCACACACAGCAGTCTCGACCGGACGTGATGTCCACCTGCTGATTGCATATATATTGCTTCGACTCGAAAGTTTGGGTATGTTCATATGGTACACGTGCTACAGCAGTATGTACATTCACAATATGCGTACAAAGAGATCGACGATTATAACATGCAGCACTGCTATAGCAGTTGTATGACTCGCTCACTTTCCTCAGCATTGTCCTCCGAAGGTTTTGTATCTGCGACTTCCGGGCTTGATGCTCTCTCTGCATCGGTAAATCTGTATCGCGCGCGTCTGGGTACATCATGATACGCAAGGTGTGGTGCGTGCGTGCGACGATGCTCAGGATCTTCGCATTATTTTTCCTACAAGGATCTTTGGATCCTTCGCATGGTGGATTCGAGAGGCTCCGCGGTATACAAAACCGAGGCGAGGGAGACATATAGCTACCTGTTGATCTGATGCTGCCCAGCACAACAGTCGTGTGCTCGGCGGGTTCCACTATTGCATCGAGGACCGTCACCGGGAGTGAGCTGGGAGAGAGAGAGAGAGAGAGCTAGACGAAGCTGAATCCCCTTCTCATCTGTTCTCATCTGGTGTGTGTCAGCGTAGCAAGGGCTGGGCATCGCGGGTTTGTGTTGCGAGCGTGTGACCATGTCGTTGGCGAAAAAGAGCAGAAGGGCGGTTCGTGCTTTCACGAGGCTGATGCGCCGTATCGTGAAGTGGCTGCTCCGCAAGCTCACGGCGCAGTCAGAGATCGGGAGAATACTGCGGAGCGATGGTCACTCCAGTGAGCTCGTGCAGGTAATTGCACAATCGATTGGAAGGAGCTCGAGCACGGAAATGGAACGGGTGAAGAGAGCCGTGTTAGGAAAGGCCCCTTTCGATGTCACGTCAACTTGTGACGAACTCATGGCGGCGAAGGCGATCGGCGATGAGCACAAGCCTCGGTTGACATGGTGTCTGCAGGTGAGCTTCTCGCCCTAACGACGACGCACATTTCACGCATCGGCTGTCGGGTGAGCCTTTGCCTATAGTTGCATCGACGCCCTTTAAGATTGTGAAAGTCGGCAGGTGGGGGTAGTTATATCTAAATGTTGTGTACCACGCAGGGATGTGCGATTGTCTCCGCTGCGGCCACCGCCTGGTTGTCACTGGTTCCTGTTGGTGCGCAGACTTCTTCGTACTGGCACTCGCAAGGGTTACGTGATTCGGTCTTGGTGGCTGGCGAGTAAGCGCCCAATAAGGTGGTTATGTGATACCGGGATGGCCCACAACCTACCTGGCCATGACAGCCAGCTAGCAACTTTCGGTCCACTTTCGACCACCAGGCGACACTGGCGGTGTTTTGTGTTGCTTGCCCGGGCTGGAAATTAATTACTTGCTTCTTTTCTTGGATGTGTAAACAACAGAGAGATAAAATGAGAATCCAGCCCCTTGCCTCGGACGTCGGACCTATGCACACCGCCGCCTTGTCTTGCGTTCGTCACGCACCCTTTTCTCTCTTCACGCCACACCACGTGCTCTGGGGGTGAGGGGTGCGCCATGAGAAATGGATGTTAACATCAACTCAATCTCAATACTTCAGTCCCTGTCCGTCCTCGACAATGTCAGGTCCTCAACATCGTCAACATCATCCATGAGAAGGTTGAAAGTCTCCAACACACTAACTACGACCCGGACGACGCGACGCACGTTGCTCTCCTCGAGACACTATGGACCTCCCTACAACCTGATGCGCGTCGCACGGATGGTTGGGCCCCCCTAGGATTCCAAAATGGAGACAAACCAGAAACGGATTTTCGCGGAATGGGTTTGCTAGGTGAGACCTCGCGGTTGTGGGAGATATAAACTTCAACTACGCCAACAATCGAGTCGCAGAGGCTGCCGGCTGCACAACGGTGAACCAAGTGGTGCCGGGGCTCAATAGAAAACTGTCGGCTCGCGGTGTATCCGATTCACGTTGCGACCGACAATAGGTGTCGAACCACGCTACTGACGGAAACTTTGTGCAGCTCCTGTTTCCCGGACGAGTCTCATCGTGCTTCTGGTTTGCAGGCAAGAGATCAGGCTGGTATCCAGCGGCGTGACGTCGCTTATGTATGTGTGCGTGTTCGTCCCATTTCTTCTGTTGTGTCTGACGCCAATCTACACATTCCGGTGCGTATCGGTGTTAGACTAATCGTCATATTTGATGTTTCAACCAGCTTCCCACACAAGCGAGGAAGGTCACACAAGAAGTTGTTTTTGCCCCAAATCTCCTGCGGTGCTTGCCTTATTGTTTGTCGGGAGAAGGAGTCAGCCGTCCGCTTCCCTCGTCGACGGTGCAGTCAAAGTGTGTAACTTTCGAATAGTCGTTTTCCACGGCAAATTGCGAAATATTTGTTTTCTCCACAAAGGGACTGAACTGAACTGAAACTCGCGCACCTTCTAGGTTTACGACGTCATCCATTTTTTATAGTAAAATAGACCACCTTCCGACGGTGTTGAAACCTGAAATTTGAATCCATCAAGTTCAGTCAAATGAAATGTACGCAGCACTGCTGTAAGCTAGAGAAGAGAGACGCACGGAGGGCCCGACGGCGTCACTCTCTTGACATCGTCGGTGCTCCGTTCGTCCACTATTATTCATTCTACTTGTGAACGCACGAGCGTTTTCCAGCGTTTCCCATGTCTCTCAAACCACCATGCATGCGTACCCTGACCGAAGGCGATACTATTTATTTGTTTTGTCCCATCATTGGACTCTGTCGTCTGCCCCTCTGGCCCCTTTCCTCCACTCCTACTACAGTAGCTAGACGACCCAACCGTCATGTGTTGTTTGCATAAGTGAGATGTCTTACATCCGTCCTGGCTCGGTTTTCCGGTCGATAGCGTGTGTGCAATCGAACGGTGTAGCGTGCTGGCTGCGACAGCAGTACAGTTCCGTCCATTCAAGCGAGAGTTTGCCGCACACACGACACGCGGGCTTGTATTAATAGACGGCTCATGTTTGGCGTGAATACGAAATGCGTGTAGGTGTCAACACACGGGGCATCATAGAAATATTTTTGAGGAAAGGTCGGCCGGTGCAGGCAAAGTTTTGAGGGAGTCAAACAAACCGTGGCCCAGACGCGCGGTACCTCGGAAGGATTTTCCACACGTGCCTTTTGACTGATGTATGACACGCATATTCGGCATTTAATCTCAGGTCTGCACCAGCTCGTGTTTTTCGCAGAGGCACGGAATCGGGAGGCGCTCTGCATACTGGCGGACTCAATCAACCCGAAGCGATACTTCCCCTTCGCTGCCGCAGGTGCGGTTTCCAATGGATGACGTTGGATGCCGTGTGTTGTTGTGCGTGTTGTCAACCGGCATCCCGTGCGAGTGAGGAAACGTTGACACCAAGCATGCAGAGGTACTGGCCTGGTGTTCCGGGTCACTCTGAGTCCTCAGGCGAGGTCTTGATCGCTGAATCGCTGCACGCGCTCCTAGCAAACGAGAGGCCCATTCATCGATCGCCAATAGTTTGCGCTATAATAAGCGAGAGAGACTGCCAAGGATGGTCAAAATGATATGCATGTATTTTACTGGTTGGACCACCTTGGGGTTTCCACTGTCGTCTGCGGTACTGTAGGAACATCGGCCGGCTGTGGAAAACGTTGACACACACCGGTGCGTTGAGCGGGGCACAACAGCACCTTGACATTCCCTCGTTGTGGCAATGTTACATATAGCAACGCCATCCCAATGTAGGAACGGAACCACACACGATGGAAAATCAAGAGGACGATACCAAAATCGTCAGATTGTACCCGTCGAATTATGCATGTGACATTGGTATAGTCCGGGCAAGACACATCGTGGTGACATTCTAACGCAACGGGTACTCGATTTTTGGCAGGGATCAACATTACCGCCTTCACGACAACCATGCTCGAGCAGAGGCGCCTCGACACCTCGCTGTACGAAGCTATTGTAAAACACATGCCTGCGGGAACACTACCAGTGGATGAGGAAATGCTTGTGGCAGCAGGTCTCACCGGCTTCAATCATGTTTACGGTGAGAGATTTTGGAAGAGTCGTGGGTTCTTCAAGGGTGCTAATCTTCACCGGTCCACCAAAATGCACAGGGTACAAGAACGTGAGGTTGACATTCTGACTGATTTGAATGTACGAAGCCTTTGCACACCTTTCTCTGTCTGGCATGGCCACAGAGTACCTTGTCCACCGGCCCGGTCGTATGCGTCGCAAGTGCACCCCAGGCGCACGATACGCTAGGTGCGGTTTCAAGAAGTAAAAAAGGTAAATGGCGGCTTGGTTTCGGCAATTCTGGGGTACAGCACATGGGTGCAGGAAACGCAGAAAATACATTAACAGAAAGCACAAGATTCGTAGCCACCTTGGGGCTGGCGTTTCGTCGTGTCAGGGCATACTGCCGACTACCGTCCTTTCGGTCCGTATTCTCTTTGTTTTTTCAGACACCGCGCGATGCGCTGTGCGTGAACACGTCGCTACATTGCCTATCATCTCTCATATCTAGCAGATTCCACTTGGTTTCAAGTAAGGGGTGTGGTGTGTGCCAGTGGCATGGATGTTTTCAGTCCATGTGGCCAAACATCAGAGGAGGTGCTGGTCTCCCTACCCTTATGCGACGATGCGTTTAAGCATAGACAGGACTCGACTGGGGCACTGCTGTACAGGCTTAACTCTGTCATCGGCAAATATTTCGGTAATGATACGGAGTGGGACCAGGAAAAACAAAACCTCTTGTCTTCAAAAACCACTGGCGCGTGGTAGAGACTGTTGAGTGCAGAAAGGGCTCGTTTCGAGGACCTAATTTATTGCGTTAATCAAGAAAGCGTAGCGAGTCTGGCACTGTGTTATTTCGTGCTCGGTACTCGAATCCTAATATCACCGTAAAACTGTGCTGCACATGCTCCAGGAGACGAGTACGTGGAGTTCTCCCGCTTCTGGCACGAGTCGGAGCCCGACAGCACAATGGCGTTCCCCGGCATTTTTGGGACGATCAAACAGCGATCAAACGCGAGATATCCACCTCTGGTGGATGCGGACTGAGTGACTGGTTGATGGTGACAAGTCCGCAGTTTCTTTTGCATTGTGTGCATTTCCCGTGATGAAACAGTTTTCGATTTCTGATGATATTGTTGCGGCGCACTCGAATGCTGTAGTTCAACAACCGTGTACGGGTGTTAGCTGTATCCTGTAGTAAGGTTTTCTGTATCTGTCATTTCCGTCTTCCCTAGCGCGAGTGGTGTGAGGCAGGTGCCATCATAGCGTGCACCCGACAGTACGTTGAATGCAGTTCGTATTTAGTGTGGTATGAATGCTAAAACATTTTTTTCCAAGTGCTCTCCTTGCCATTTCTCCACCCGAATTTTTTTGTGCGAATGGATTTTTCCCCCTCTTTCGTGGGCGAGGAAAGCACTCGCTTGGAAGTTGACTGTACGGCGCTTCTGTGGTGAAGCTGCAAGTGTAAACAATTGTCACTTACTTCTATTTAATATGGTATTATTCCTGTGTTTGCCTCGACTATCGAAGTTAAATAGATCCGATTTAGTCCAGGTGTAAGAGTGCCGTTTTAAGAGTGGGGGAAAAGGAGACAACAGGGGCCCGCGTTGGCTATCTTTTTTTGAGGTTCGTTGATATCGTGTTTACAAGGGGCTGGTATATAGTAGCATTACGATATGGAGTTGTGAGTGCGTTGCAGTAGTGACAATAGTATGAAACAACTGTTCCCGTCGGTATGTGTTTTCTTGGTTTTGGGCGAGAAGGTGTGTGCGATGAGGTGGCTTCAAGGCAAAGCTTGTTAGGTTCACCACAGGTAGTTTTTTCGGCAGTGTCATGATACAGTATTTGTTCAAAGAAAGCAGCGATCCGGACCGCAGTCGCCTGGTTGATTATTTTGAGTCTTCTTGTTGAATGGACCCTTTTGGAGGAGAGGTGCCGCAAAGCACTAGGCACCATTTGTGGGTATAGCTCTCAGTTATTGCCTTTTGCCGCGGGAGGCCGAAGGCTTTCTTGTGTTGTGTGCATATCGAGTTCCAACTCCAGTTGTGGTGAAGGGAGGCGGTGTTGAACAACTCCTTCTTCGTGGAATCGAAGAATTATTTTCTTCAGCTGTCCAAAAGGTATAAACCAGCAGTTGCTAGTTGTGGTCGGCGCCAGTATTTTGTAGCTTGCCATTAGAAGTAGTATTTTGTAGCTTGTGACAACCTCGGCTCCGTCAATAGGTGAGCGGGCCCACCCGGTGTGTTGTAGATTGTACCTGACTTTCTCAAGTCCACATTCAAGCAGCATTTTGAATGGTGATACTCCTCATCTGCCGCGGCTCTCGCAACAAACAACAGTAAGCTCGTATCTGTTGTGATGCCGAAGCCGATGTCCCACGGAACGGACACCCGCTGACGGTGTGGGTGTGCTCGTCCCATGTGTTCTGGCGCCAGTCTGGACCTCTCGGTGTACGTATTTTTGCGCCACCTACCTGCGGCAGAACTCGCCGTGTGGTTTTTATCTCGAGAAAGCTCAGCCGTCGTCCCGTTCCCTCGTCGACCGTCAAGTTGGAAGTCTGCATTTACTCACGAAGCAATCGTCTCTGCAACTGTAGCCAAAGAAAGCCCTCCAGATAATCAAACCCACAACTCCGTAGGTTTGTGAGGTTAACCACTAGAAGACCCCTGGGTGGGGCGCCTGGTGACATGATTACATTTGTTGTCTGTCGTGCATTTTGCATGTAGCCTCGTCTAATATGGATGTCAATCTACACCTTGCAGGATCAAATCCACAACACATTCTACGCAAACCCAATTAGTTGCAAATCGGGGTTTCCGTCAGCGCTATCCCGGAAAAAGCAATCAGGAACCTTGTACGAAATTTCCAACATACTTGAATCTACATGTACATACAGTACATACGTGATCACAGCAGTCCATACATACTTGAGACAAATGACATATATATGCCATCGCAATCGACGTACATATTCTCCCTGTGTCCTGAAGCATAAGGTCGATAAGGGAAATAGGCGGAGTAACTCTTGGGGACAATCCAAGCAGAGGTCATCATGAGTTCGACCCCGCGGTGTAGAACACATTTATTTCCCCCCCGGAATAACACATTATTTTCCAAAAAAAATATCCCGTTTTTTGCATCTCTCTCCAAATGTCAACTTTCTGCCACCCGGGCGTTTTGCTCCCGGTCGAAACCAAATATTATATATCGATACTTCAATAACTACATCCAAAAATCCAAGGAAAGAAAATATATGAAAAAAATAGCAGCAGTAGTAGTAGTAGTAGTGGGCCCTGTAAAGAGCCGGTACGTACGTGTTCAGAGACATTACCGTCATATTATTATTCCGGAAACTCGCACTATTCAAAGTACAGAAGAACGACTTGCTTGGTATTTCATTCAGTCAGTGTATGCGAGCCGAAAACACCGACCGGCACTATACCGGGCACAAGGCACTATTCGGCCGGCACTATCATGATACGAGGCCCACTACTGTATGTAGTAGTCTCTCTATGCGGATACATGCATGGTTTTCCTCCACGACATCCCGTTCGAGTGTGGGTAAATCTCGAATGGGGCGGGTTCCGCAGTAAAGCCGAATATTTTTTGGGGGGGGGTGGGGGGCGACGTGAAGGGCCCACTTTGCTCCCCTCTAATAATTTAGTGTGTCGTCAGTGGCCCCCTTAGAACACCGGTTGCGAAGTTTGAGAGAAAACGAGATCTTTCGTGCCTGGGTTTCAATTGCTTTATCTCGGCTCGCTAGGGGAAATTTCGGAAACGCCCGGAAGCAGGGATGGGCCCAAAAATCCCCCCACACACTGAAAAGGCTTCGATCGAGCTAAAAACTTCAGTATTTCCGAGCATTGTTAAGGAGGACCCGATTCGCAGGGTATCATCAGTCGATTGACTTTTATTACCTGAATCGGTACAACACCTTCGCATATGGCGTCAGCGGCAGGATACTGAATGGTTCGAATCTCCTTGGGTGCACACTTTTTCTTCTGACTTGGACAATTTCCCATGGACACAATGTGTGTCAGTCCTGAGAACACCTCTTGGAGTCGATCCTACAAAAGGGTCGTGGGGTGAGGATCGAGCGGAGGTTTCGCTGGCCAATCGTAGACCGGCAGCTAACAGAGACAGGCAAACGATGGCATCAGCAGATTTACGAGTCACAGCCGCACGGCCTAGGCACTCGTCCCAGCGCACGAGCGTCTGCGCGTCGGCTACGGGGCATCACGCGAGACCACGAGCATCGACCCCCGGCAATTCTCGGGAGGGAGCTCTTGTGGCGGCGCCACCCAATCCGGGGCCACAGATGCCGGACCCTCCGCGCTCTTCAGAGAGGACCCGGCCGACAGGCACCCCTTCAGCGCTACCGGGGGCTTCACCGCGGCCGGCTTCACCCGATGCGGCTGTTCTGAGGGATACAAATAGTGTGGCTGACAGCATGGACGTCGATCCGCCCCAGCCCGGCGCGGTTGCGCCGTCATTAGTAGCCTCCCCCCAAGGTTCTATCGCGCGCGCGGTCGTCAGGACTTCTACCCGTAGCACCCGAGAGGCCGCGGGGGCGGCCTTTCCACGTCCCCTCCCACCTGTCTTGGCGGCACGAGGGGCTTCGGCCGGGGGAGACGTAGGTACTGTTGGGAGCCTAGGTCCTTCATTAGGTAGCCAT